GTATATTGAAATGGGTCAAGGCGGAGATCTACCTGACGCTCAGTCCTCTGGTTTTCTCTTTGGGGGCATTCCATAGACTGTCAAAATGGGAGACCAGTCATGAAGCAGCAAATCCATCAAGTATAACAGTCACCGATACCCGGAGGCCCGGAGAAAAGAAAGAAAAAAGAAAAAAGAAAAAAAGAATATAATAATCATCAGTGTGATGGAATTTGACCCGCGTCTGACTGGCTCAGACCGTGGAGGATCTCATCCTTGACTACCGTTGGATGATCATGACCCATCCGGAGTTCGAGGTGGGGGTCAATTTTTCAATAGCTTGTGCACCAGAGATTACTAGGCCCCGTAGAGATGACGCCCTTCGGAGGATTGGTATCGACCCCAAGGTTAAATCCACTGTCTCAGACAAATGTCGATCCTTTCTTTTATGGGGCGTCATATGGGAAAGTGGGGGTAAAGTAGATATGGGAGCCAATGAGAGGTGTATATTGTGACTACTGGAGCTATTGGTCGCACCCCCGGGAGTCTTTCTGTGTACTCGACCACTTTGTTCTCTTTTCCAAAGAGGGCAGGTGTGTGCTGAGTCAGAAGGGTAGGTAGACTTTGGTATATTGTCCGTCATTCGATGTGAGGATCTACTTGTGGCTACCTTGGGTATAAGATGTCACGGAGACCCTCCGATCCAAATTCACGGCTCCACTCGGATCACCCATGGCACGGAGAGTGATGGTATCTTGACCTGCTCTATTCTTCTTCTACTGATAAACTTTTAATTATATTAAATACTTTATATATATTCCTGTCTATTGAAAGTCTATCGACTTGATTATATATAGTACCTGAAAAAGTTCTCTATAAAAGTGAAACTGTACCTGCTTCTCGCGGAGGGTATGGTGAAATCATGACTTTGATGTTTCATTGTCCGTATTTCTCCGCCCCGAATTCCACCGTCTTTTCTTTTTCTTTTTTCTTTTCTATTTTCTGGGCCGAGCTAGACCATATACGGAAAATGGCAAATAAATCGAGAATAAAAAAAGGAATAAAATAAAAATCGAAAAGAAAAGAAAAGCCCCAAAAACATAATAATATCGCATGTCATATCTGTCATCGATACTCTAGGCCTCAGCGTTCTGTGTAGTTTCTTCCAACCCTCCGAGTTTTTTTATTTTTATTTTTTTAACATTAACATTAAACCCATTAGACTCCCGGGTGACCATACCATACTGCAGTATAAAGAAGGTAAAAAGAATAAAGTAATACTAATCCAAAATAATGTGGAGATATCACTCAGACCTCTTCCCCCTTCTTTTTTAGTACTTTTTTTCCCCTCTCTTTTTTTTTTCTTTAACTAGCCAGGGTCCCTATTTAGGTACATAGTTATTCCCCCCTTCAGTGGATCCCCAAAAAAAAAGAAAGCTTGGGAATTGCCGCAACTCAAACCGTGGAACGGGTTTCTAGTAGATCCCCATCTTTTTTCCAAAGTGCAACCTTGAGCTGACTTGAGAAGGCCCGTGCTGGCCGATCCCTGAATTCTCCAACTGAGGGGGGTCACAACTCAAAACCTCCATCCTTCTCCATACCCTGGTCGATCTATTAGCTTAATTCTTCTTTTTCTTTTGAATATATCCGCAAAAAGCCCGGGGGGTTGGGATATCTGATTCACATTTCTACATCATGGTGAACGGGACCGCCGCCGTGTTGGAACCCACATTCAACGGGTATGTCGCAACCACTCAAGATGCCCTGATACTCTTCGAAGCATGCTTGACCGGTGTGTTGCATCACGTTCCCCGTCGCCCTCACGATCGAGAACGGAGTCATCTCGTGCGCAGTGGGAGCGTCTTCATCTATGAGGAAAACGCCTCGGGTATCAAACGGTGGACCGATGGGGTCACCTGGAGTCCAAGTCGCATTTTGGGGAACTTCCTCGTGTACCGCGAGCTAGACAAGCCATTTCCTCCAGGGGAGAAGAAGCGCGCCATGAAGAAAGCTACTCGACGACCAGTGCCAGCCGGCCGGCCAGGCGAACCTTATCCGCGACACGATAGCAGTCAGGGCTATTCCCCGACATCTCCCAGCTCGGCCCCCTTCACAGACCGTTCGTCCCATCAATCGGAGCTTGAGCGGGCATTGGTGGGGTCACTGGTTGATTCCTACGGCTTCAAGGACTCCGGGTTAGTCAAGAAGACGATGAGCGTGACGGTTTTGGGTGTGACCCACCATTTGGTCTCATACTACAGTGTGGAGGACGTGATGCGCGGGATCCTCAACCCACCCTCGATGTCGGACTCGCTACGCTTTATCCGACCCCGTACCGAACTCACCCAGAAACAAAGCTTCCGTTCCCCGATCGACGAGCTCGAGGCCAACGCCGTGGAAAACCAGGAGCCCTCCCATGCCGCTTTATACGGATATCGCCCGCAGATGATGGCCCCACCCACTTACCCCATGCCAACACCTTCAAACGACTTTTATATGCACCCCAGCTCGTATGCCGCCACACATCCCCCGCAGCAAGGCCCGATCCAGGGATACTCGATGGGTACCCCGATGGCCCAAGCCGCACCAAACCAGTACCTGCCAAACCCGGGGCAATCCATTCCCCCAAAGCAGGAAGACTACCACTCATTCCGCGCAGGGCCCTACGGCGGCAGCATGGACTCTATGAGCGGGCACAGTATGGCCTCGATCCCAGGCAGCCTCAACACGGGACTCCCCAGTTCGCTCAGCGAGCGCAACAGATCTACCTCGGAACACAGCCCTTCCGCCTACCGCAATTCTTCCATCTCTTCGCGCAGCCAAGCAACAGACGCTACTTCACCCATGGATCCATCCACCCCAGCCACCTACTCCCGCAGCAGCTTCAGCATGTCCAGCCAACTGGATAACCACCCATCACTCGACCGCAGCATGCCCGGTCTCGATCCCAGCGTGCCTCGCCGCGAATCAAACCCTCCTCAGCTGTCCTATTACAATACGGATCGCTCCCAGTACTATTTAAACACGCCTTACGCTGCCACACAACCCATGTCGACATGGACGACTACAGCAGCGACGCAACCGCAAATGGCACAACCACAAATGGCACAACCACAAATCTAATCTCTTGATACCTTTCCCTTTGTGATTGGTTGCTTATGGCCATGGGAGCGTGGGAGTCGGGGAATTTTGTTTTCTTTTTTTTTTTTGTTCAAGTTGCTTTTGCTTTTATTCCTGGAGATAGACCCCTACGCTTTCTGTTATGTTATTTCTGGGAGGAAAACGCCGTTTTATTGCTACAATATGTACCTGACAGCGGCTGTACTCTTGTCTCTTTGTCTATATGGTTATGGTCTTTTGCTTTATGGGTTTGTTATGGAGGTGGCTCTTTGAACTGTTTTGCTTTTGTTGTTTTTTTTTTTGTTTTCGGTCGGCTCTCTGATATGATTCTGTTCTGGGAATCCGGGTGGCGGCGTTCTTTTACTCTTTACGATGTCATGCAACAACAACCCAACCCCAAAACGGTTCTATTTTTTTTATTACTTCTTTACCTTTGGACACTGACTCCTACTTTTTACTTGCTCCCAATTTCGCTATATCTCCATTCGCTGCCAAGGCCACCCCCTGTATGTTTGTCCCGGTCACGAACAGTGTCCAATGGTTTCTTTTCCAAGTTCTGGGCGGGTTCCTCTTCTCTATTCTATCCAGTTCCAAAAGGACAGGTTTTAGTGATTCCCATCTCATTCTGTGGTCAAATATTGCTTCTATATCTCCTTTGCTTCCTTTGATGCTGGTGCTGGTGCTGGTCATGGCTATCAGTATGTTCGTGTACTTCATACTATATTCCCCACAGTCTACCGTATGGATTGTAGGCTCTGTGCTCCAGTGGTCGCTTTTTGATATATACAATTCCCAAATGCCAATATTAGTTACTTCGGCATGACAAAAGATTTGTTGCTTTTTTTCCATGTGTTTTTATTGATACTCTATACTCTATACTTTGCTGCCTTTGCGCTTCTCGGCTTTGTGTATTTGTTGACATGGGAGATATGGTATGTGTTATGAAATTAAGATGGATGTTTTCATAACACATATCATATCTCCCAAGAGGTATATCCTATCTTCACCTTTTTGTGCTATCTAACTAAGCTTAATATTAGCTTCTAGTAAATAATGAGATATGTCTTCTTTTCTGAGATTTGCTTGCTCTATTAATCTATTTATATTCTTGCCTAGTTGACATTTAATGGTGTTTTCAGATACCTCTCTCCGAACTATGTACACAAGAATAGTTGACCGCTTGTGCGGCCTCGTGATGACTTTCAGTGGTCTTTTTTTGAAGATATTGTGGCACTCTTCTCGATTTTCCAAGTACACTGTACTTTTCCATGTATAACCTTAGATTAAAGTCTATTAAGACAGCATAGCTAGGTCACTTAGTACATATCACTCATTCTGATTACAGTTTCCTACTATTTAGAAAATATAGAATGGAGAATTATAACCAAGTACTATTTATACACTATCATCACCTCGAACAGTAACATATTAGACGTACCCGGAACTCATATATCGACAATGTGTATCTCAATTAAACATATACTCGAACAAACATTGGCAAAATACAAAGTAAACACATGGAGCGAATCTAGACTCGCCAGAGCAGAAAGGCAAATATCCCAAACATATACACACCAACCTTGATTTTCATCCAAAACAAGAACGAAAGACAAAGGATGATACAAAACCAATCAGCAACACACAAAAAAAGAACCAAGGCTCGTCAAAGCAGAAGAATGATGGATACCTTACACCATGTGACCCAGACAACCAGATGAAAGTCCCGAGCACCACTGGAAAGATAGGAAGAAACTCCCTACCTCAGTGGGGGATTAGCCATACCCATACCTCTCCGATGAGTTCTACCACCAGCACGCACCCGTCCGGCCACAGACGAAGCGCCAACCGAATCCAGTCTCGTAACGCGCCTCGGTAGACGGCGCAGCATCTGATACTCCTCATCAGAACCATCCCCCTCCTCGATCTCCAAAAGAGGGCGTCCCCACTGCGAATGCGCGCCCATATGCGGGGTCATCGAGTCTGTGGGGCTGGGAGAGGAGCATGTGGATGTGTTTGATGCTCCGCTCGCCCCGCGCGAGGGGAATTCCTGTGCTTGTGTGCGCCGTAAACTTGGGGTGTGGTGTGGGGCCCGGGGGGGAGGGGCCAGGACTTGTCCGGGTGAGGTTTGTGAGGTGTGTGGTGGTAGTTGGGTCGCGGACGAGGTGGAGATTGAGGGGGATGGTTATGGCGGTTTGGGGGATGGAGGGGGTTGGTGGTGCTGGGCGAGGGTGGGGAGATTGAGGGGAAGAGTGGTTTTGGTTTTGCGTCTGGGGGGATACCTGCTGGTGGAATTGGGGTTCTTCCTCCCTCGCCTGGGTGGCCCAGATGTTTTGTAGAGTTGTCTGCAGGAGGTTGTTTTGCAGGGAGAGGCTGTTGTTTTGCAGGGCTAGGTTGTGGGTCTGCAGTTGTTGTTGATACGGGATTGGGTTGAGGGGCCCGTATTGGCCTGGGTAGGTGGCCTGGAAGTGATTATCAGGGATGCCAGTCTCAGGTGGGATGTGAATCTGAGAGAAGTATCTATTAGTTTCGGATCATCACCTATGCAGTGAGAGATCGATTGATCTCTTGGTTGGTGAACATACCTGACGGCTGAACTTCCTTCCTGGCATAGCGATGTACTCATCGAACATGCTCCCAAGTTCTGCAAAGTTGAACCCACGCACCGGGTCCGCGGGCTCAAACCGCTGTCCGACTTCTTGTTGAAAATTCACACCCCGGCGCGGTAAAGGTTGATACTCGGGTAGTTTCAACATCAAGGACGGGTAACTGCCAATCATTGCGTCGATTACGGGGTCGACATCGATCGAGAGGGAAGTCTTGGTGTTTGCCGCGGGCTTTTGGATCAACATAACAAAGGTGAACTCGCGCGGTAGACCAGATCTCTGGACATTATTCTCTTCCATGGACCAGACGATTTTGCCAGCTTCGACATCGAATTCGCGGCCAGATGGGTTCTTTAAAGTACGTGCGGAGCCTTGAATGCGCATCATCTCGTACCGCTTATACCGACTGTTGATACTCCCCGAGGGAATGACGCTCGCACTGACGGGCATTTCCGAGATTCCAAGAGACCCAGCCAGACTGAATGTCCACTCCATGGTCTCCGGGGAAACAGTGCCATAGATTAAGTGCGGAGCATGCATAAGAAAGCGTGGGTTACCGGGCGCATATCCATAAGGGTATAACTTCGAACTTGAAAGGGCACGGCGTCCGTGGACTGATACACTAATGGTGGCGGACCTGATGCGGTGTGTGATGGTGTGCGGCGAATGAAAGGTGAATGCGATAGCGAGAAAATCTACGTGTTCAGCATCCGCGTCTGAGACGACATTGCTGGAGTAATAGCCATGCTGAAGGCGCTGGACATGTGCGGTGATATAAGCATCGCCTGGTAGTCGGCGCTCATAGATGAGACCACGGTTGATAAGCAGACGTGGATTCGCCAGGTTTAGATTAGGTTGTTCCGTTTCTTTGACTGGTGGTACACTGCGGATGGGAGTCAACGAGCGTGAATCTGATACACGCCCGTTTGGTACAGAAGTAAACGACATCGTGGCGACCGCAAAACGACAAGACCGCAGTTTCGTTCTGGTAGCCTTGCCTCGCTCTTCTGATGGCTCTAGGGCTCTAGACACAGATGGCTGTCTTTGTAATTTAACTTGGCCTGCGTGACATATTGTCCTATATGTTCTTTTGGATGGCTAATAAAACTTCAGTTCTAGCTTCCTTGTTCGATGATGTTTTTCATCACCTGGGGTTCTTGGTCACAGGAGTGGTAGAGCCTGTCAGGTGAGCATAGGCTTGATCATGATCACCGTGATACAACTGCTGGGATTGAGGTTCTAGAACTGATGTTGTCATTTTCAAGGATATGTAACTCAACAGAGACAGAGGTGGCGTCATATTTGTTTCTATGTACAAAAGTAGGAGAAGTATAAGAAAGGCCATTTGTTGCATGTGGAGGATATAGAGACGGGCGGATAAACCATTTATCCGGCCAGAAACTCATCGCCGAGGTGCAATCTCCAATGCTCATCTAACCTCAGGCGACCGTGATCTAGAACTTGTTGGTTCTAGCTCATTGAATTTCTGGTAGAGGTGATTTATATTCTGAATTCTCTTATATGTATGTGCCATTCAGCCAAGTTGCCCCGAATTCCGACACATCCAGCTAACAATCCCTAGATTGTGTTTGTACTATATAGCATTCTGCCTTTTTATTTACATTCATTGCGCTATCAGCTTGTTCGTCTATTTTATTTTGATTTGGGGTTTGTATTCGCAGATTTGTCACCGACTGTGCGACGCGACACCTTCCGTTGGTCTGTTTCCTGGTGTATCACTTGAACCGAATCACCATTTCATAGCCTGAAACCAACCGGGCATGCACAGTTGAAACTTCTGGTTAAAAGCTTGTGGTTATCGGTGTCTCTGGTCAATTTTGGGTTTTTACCAACGCCTGCCCTCATCACTTTTGTGTTCGTGTTACCATGATTGGCTCATGCGTAGCCCAGTTGTCCCTTCGGGCAAGCCGGCAGGGGTCTCAAGTGCTGTCTAAGAGCGCACGTCTTTCTGTTCGGTCAAATTTGTTCAAGACTGAAGCTCTTCGAAGAGATGGATTCCGCTGTTTATCTACATCAGTCCAATCAACATTGAACCGATTACCAACCGGGTATGGTTGTCTGCTGCTGCTTCGTTTATGCACTTCTAACTGTTTACCAGAGGATTGAAACCCCGTTGTATACAGACCACCCTGATCTCACCATCATTTTTCACCCAGCAAAGATGGGCCGGGTCAAAATCGCCAGAAAACAAAACATCTGAACAGTAGGTCTACGGCCTGGAAGTGATTATCAGGGATGCCAGTCTCAGGTGGGATGTGAATCTGAGAGAAGTATCTATTAGTTTCGGATCATCACCTATGCAGTGAGAGATCGATTGATCTCTTGGTTGGTGAACATACCTGACGGCTGAACTTCCTTCCTGGCATAGCGATGTACTCATCGAACATGCTCCCAAGTTCTGCAAAGTTGAACCCACGCACCGGGTCCGCGGGCTCAAACCGCTGTCCGACTTCTTGTTGAAAATTCACACCCCGGCGCGGTAAAGGTTGATACTCGGGTAGTTTCAACATCAAGGACGGGTAACTGCCAATCATTGCGTCGATTACGGGGTCGACATCGATCGAGAGGGAAGTCTTGGTGTTTGCCGCGGGCTTTTGGATCAACATAACAAAGGTGAACTCGCGCGGTAGACCAGATCTCTGGACATTATTCTCTTCCATGGACCAGACGATTTTGCCAGCTTCGACATCGAATTCGCGGCCAGATGGGTTCTTTAAAGTACGTGCGGAGCCTTGAATGCGCATCATCTCGTACCGCTTATACCGACTGTTGATACTCCCCGAGGGAATGACGCTCGCACTGACGGGCATTTCCGAGATTCCAAGAGACCCAGCCAGACTGAATGTCCACTCCATGGTCTCCGGGGAAACAGTGCCATAGATTAAGTGCGGAGCATGCATAAGAAAGCGTGGGTTACCGGGCGCATATCCATAAGGGTATAACTTCGAACTTGAAAGGGCACGGCGTCCGTGGACTGATACACTAATGGTGGCGGACCTGATGCGGTGTGTGATGGTGTGCGGCGAATGAAAGGTGAATGCGATAGCGAGAAAATCTACGTGTTCAGCATCCGCGTCTGAGACGACATTGCTGGAGTAATAGCCATGCTGAAGGCGCTGGACATGTGCGGTGATATAAGCATCGCCTGGTAGTCGGCGCTCATAGATGAGACCACGGTTGATAAGCAGACGTGGATTCGCCAGGTTTAGATCAGGTTGTTCCGTTTCTTTGACTGGTGGTACACTGCGGATGGGAGTCAACGAGCGTGAATCTGATACACGCCCGTTTGGTACAGAAGTAAACGACATCGTGGCGACCGCAAAACGACAAGACCGCAGTTTCGTTCTGGTAGCCTTGCCTCGCTCTTCTGATGGCTCTAGGGCTCTAGACACAGATGGCTGTCTTTGTAATTTGACTTGGCCTGCGTGACATATTGTCCTATATGTTCTTTTGGATGGCTAATAAAACTTCAGTTCTAGCTTCCTTGTTCGATGATGTTTTTCATCACCTGGGGTTCTTGGTCATAGGAGTGGTAGAGCCTGTCAGGTGAGCATAGGCTTGATCATGATCACCGTGATACAACTGCTGGGATTGAGGTTCTAGAACTGATGTTGTCATTTTCAAGGATATGTAACTCAACAGAGACAGAGGTGGCGTCATATTTGTTTCTATGTATAAAAGTAGGAGAAGTATAAGAAAGGCCATTTGTTGCATGTGGAGGATATAGAGACGGGCGGATAAACCATTTATCCGGCCAGAAACTCATCGCCGAGGTGCAATCTCCAATGCTCATCTAACCTCAGGCGACCGTGATCTAGAACTTATTGGTTCTAGCTCATTGAATTTCTGGTAGAGGTGATTTATATTCTGAATTCTCTTATATGTATGTGCCATTCAGCCAAGTTGCCCCGAATTCCGACACATCCAGCTAACAATCCCTAGATTGTGTTTGTACTATATAGCATTCTGCCTTTTTATTTACATTCATTGCGCTATCAGCTTGTTCGTCTATTTTATTTTGATTTAGGGTTTGTATTCGCAGATTTGTCACCGACTGTGCGACGCGACACCTTCCGTTGGTCTGTTTCCTGGTGTATCACTTGAACCGAATCACCATTTCATAGCCTGAAACCAACCGGGCATGCACAGTTGAAACTTCTGGTTAAAAGCTTGTGGTTATCGGTGTCTCTGGTCAATTTTGGGTTTTTACCAACGCCTGCCCTCATCACTTTTGTGTTCGTGTTACCATGATTGGCTCATGCGTAGCCCAGTTGTCCCTTCGGGCAAGCCGGCAGGGGTCTCAAGTGCTGTCTAAGAGCGCACGTCTTTCTGTTCGGTCAAATTTGTTCAAGACTGAAGCTCTTCGAAGAGATGGATTCCGCTGTTTATCTACATCAGTCCAATCAACATTGAACCGATTACCAACCGGGTATGGTTGTCTGCTGCTGCTTCGTTTATGCACTTCTAACTGTTTACCAGAGGATTGAAACCCCGTTGTATACAGACCACCCTGATCTCACCATCATTCTTCACCCAGCAAAGATGGGCCGGGTCAAAATCGCCAGAAAACAAAACATCTGAACAGTAGGTCTACAGCCTCCAAACCGAGATACCCAGCGTCCAAATGAGACACAGGTCAAGTGAACTAGCAACTAACCCAGGGTAGACCCGAGGAATCCAAGAAAAAGCCTATTGTATCGCGGATTCCCCTGCCAACCTCACACGAGAATATCTACACTGTACCCAATATTCTCACACTCTCTCGGCTGGTCGCCGCCCCCGTCGTCGGGTATCTCTTAGTCAACAACTACCACACAGCAGCACTATCCCTGTTCGCCTACGCGGGCATTACTGATCTCGTCGATGGCTGGATCGCCCGGCGGTACAGCCTCCAAACTGTGGTTGGAACCATCATTGATCCCATGGCCGATAAGCTATTGATGACCATTGGTGTCGCGTGTCTGGCCGTGAATGGCTCCCTTCCTAGTAAGTCTACTCTGATCTTTTGGTGGTATACGGATATGCACATGGATTGACGCATTGAATAAATAGTCTGGCTCGCTGTGATCATCCTCGGTCGCGACGTTGGTCTGGCTATCTCGGCTATCTATTACCGTTGGATTTCACTGCCTGAGCCTAAAACTATGGCCCGGTACTGGGATTTTTCGCTTCCGTCGGCGGAAGTCAAGCCCACTGAGATCTCGAAGATCAACACCGCTTTGCAGCTGGTATTGGTGGGTAGTGCGATTGCGCTGCCTGTGGTCCCTGAGGCATTTGTCAGTGCCTGGCATTTGAGCGAGGCTATGACCGGATTTCAGTAAGTTTGATCTTTTCTTATTTTATACCCATTTTTGTTTTTTTTTTTTTTGTTTTTCCTTTCCCTTCTCTTTTTCGTTGTATCTGGAAGGCAGAGATCAATAGTCCGCCCTAAGGCAAATTGAGGCTCCTTCCAGTACATACGACCATAGGGTGTGGAAAACAGGGCTTCCCGTCCGCTCAGCCGTACTTAAGCCACACGCCGGTGAGTTAGTAGTTGGGTGGGTGACCACCAGCGAATCCTCACTGTTGTATGTTTTTTGCTTTTTCTTTTTCTTTTTTGGCTTTGCATATACATACATATACATAGTTCGCTTGCTGTTTGTTTCTGATTGGTTCTTTTTTACTGACCAATTTTAGGTACCTTGTTGCCGGCACCACTCTCTGGTCTGGACTTAGCTATGTCTTCTCCAACAACGCTGTGAAGATTCTCTCAAAAGAAGAAATCCAGAAGCGAATCGCTCAAGCAGCTGCTAAGCGCAAGTAGCGATCAAAAACAAGGCAGAGTGAGAAGTTTTATTGTACAATATTATAAAATTCAAGTGTTGGATTATGCCAAGAGTCAGACCGTATTCTTCCAACGGGGATTGTGCATATGTATGAAGTTTGAATCATGAACCACATGGATACTAAAAAGTAGGTGTAGCGTAGCCTGCATGGCATGTGATATATCTAACATGATAACGTGGAGGCGTGTAGTTTGATAGAAGTTTACCAGGGAACCCTTGACACATGTTAGTCTGAAGGTTGGCATTTGAAAACATATGTGTATAAGACGCCTACTAAGCATGTATATACTCCGTATATAGACGGTAGGATTGTGCATCAGGCATCAGCCAAGCTCTCTATAAGGCCAAGGCGCCGAATTAAAGTGATAGATTCCGATCACCAAGATCTCGCCAGTCGGGCTCTTTTAGGCCGAGTGGATCCGTGGGATCTTATAAGTCGCCGAACTGCAGGTGTTTGAGATGGCTGAATTAGGTAGGCGGGCCGATAAAGAACGGCGTTATGTGGCACAGACCTATTCCACATTCTTTACATCCAGGGGGTTTTCTAGAGGGCTCGCTATTAAAAAGAGTATTCGTAAGCAAGATTGTTAATCCACTTATATACTATTATTACATACAAAAAAAAGGGAGATTATCCCCGGCATCCCACGTGCTTGCATAAGCCCCAAGGCTGATAGGAATGGATATTGCGTCTTGCTGACAAGTGGCATAGCCAATAAAGTCAGTAAACGGCCGTGAACAGCCAATGGATAGCCTATCGGCTAAAGCCCGACTTTATCTCCGTGCTTGAAACCAGAAAATTCTTTTGATTCATCCTGAGTCATGTATTCCACCTACTCCACTATAGCTCTTCAAGTCGCGATTTTGGATCATTATCTCGCTTGTGATTCGATATTCCCTCTTAGTCTTCCAGGGCCTGTAATCCCTTTTTAGCGACTGACAAATGCTCGGAGTTAAGTGAATATTCTGATATTTTCTCATATAAACGACGTTTAGGTCTGCTATATTTTTTTTCCTAATCATTTCTTTATCATTCTCTTTACATTATTGTCTGCTTTTAATTCTATCATCCCCCCCCCCCCCCCCTAATTAGCCTGGCTATAACATAATACACTTGTATCTGCCATTGCATATTGCCGGAGAGTAGAACCTATCCGAGCCCCAACATGGAGGGCCATTCCGAACAGTCGCATCCTGTCTCGGATTCCCAAGCCTATACACAGACCTCCAGGCAACAATCCAGCTCGAATGGCGAGACCTACCACCAGAATGTGGGCTCTGAAAAACCCGCCGAAGAATTCCTCAGGACCGCCGAATCTCCCATCAATCCAACTTTAACCGACAGCTCAACCATCGGCTCGTCGGTAAGCGGTGATGATGGCCGCTGGGGAGAAGAGAAGGCCGGAAAGGCCGTCTCCCGCAGCGGCGCCATGGAAGACATGGAAGAGATGCGCCGCGAACTCACCCGCCTCAGCCTGCACCGCACTCGCTCTGCCACTAAGAGCGTTCGTCGCCACAGGTCACAGGTAAGCCCTCGCGATGAAGAAAAGGGCATGGACGAAGAAACCACCGAGGACGAGGCTGACGACAGCTTCGATCTGGGTGAGTTCCTGACCGGTGGTCATCTGGAACGCCGCACAACCGCCGGCGGCCCCGCCAAGAAGGTCGGCGTCGTGTTCAAGAACCTCACTGTGCAGGGTGTGGAGACTGGTGCATCCTTCGTGCGCACTCTCCCCCAGGCTGTGATGGGTACCTTCGGTCCGGATTTGTATAATCTCGTCTGCCAGTTCGTGCCGCAGCTGCGCTTCGGCAAACACCCTCCTGTTCGCGATCTCATCCATGATTTCAGCGGTGCTGTGCGCGAAGGTGAGATTATGCTTGTGCTGGGCCGTCCCGGTGCTGGTTGTACCACCTTCCTCAAGGCGATTGCAAACGACCGTGGTGCTTTTGCTGGTGTCAATGGCGAGGTCAGCTATGGTGGTCTGTCAGCCGAGGACCAGAATAAGCGCTTCCGTGGAGAAGTCAACTATAACCCAGAAGACGATCAGCACTTCCCCTCCCTCACTGTCTGGCAAACTCTCAAATTCTCCCTGATCAACAAGACTCGCAAGCATGATCGGGAAAGCATCCCCATTATCATCGATGCCCTGCTGAAGATGTTCGGTATCACTCACACTCGGAATACACTCGTTGGTAACGAGTATGTCCGCGGTGTTTCTGGAGGTGAGCGCAAGCGTGTGAGTATCGCGGAGACCTTGGCTACCAAGTCATCGGTGGTCTGTTGGGATAACTCGACTCGCGGTCTGGATGCCAGCACCGCCCTAGACTATGCCAAGTCCCTTCGCATCATGACCGATGTCAGCAAGCGCACCACCTTCGTCACACTATACCAAGCCGGAGAGAGCATCTACGAGCTGATGGATAAGGTGATGGTCATTGACGAAGGCCGCATGCTCTACCAAGGTCCAGCCAACGAAGCACGACAATACTTCATCGACCTGGGCTTTTACTCCCCCCCCGCAATCGACTACAGCAGACTTCCTTACTTCGCTCTGCGACCCCAATGCCCGCGAGTTCCAGCCCGGCCGTGAAGCCTCCACCCCGAAGACCGCCGAGGAACTTGAGAAAGTCTTCAAGAACAGCCAGACCTACAGCCGTATCTTGGAGGATGTCAGCAGCTACGAGAAACGTCTCCATGACACCCAGCAGGAGGACACCCGCCGCTTCCAATCCATGGTCGCGCAGTCCAAGTCCAAGTCTGTCTCCAAGAAGTCGCCATATACCGTCTCGTTCATGCGCCAGGTCATGGCCTGCGTGCAGCGCGAGTTCTGGCTGCTCTGGGGCGACAAAACCTCCCTCTACACAAAGTACTTCATCGTCATCTCTAATGCCCTCATCGTTTCGTCCTTGTTCTACGGAGAATCGCTGGATACCAGCGGCGCTTTCTCGCGCGGCGGTGCTCTGTTCTTCTCGATTCTGTTCCTTGGTTGGCTGCAACTGACTGAGCTGATGCCTGCCGTCACCGGCCGTGGCATCGTCGCTCGCCACAAGGATTACGCTTTCTACCGCCCCTCTGCTGTCTCCATTGCTCGTGTCGTCGTCGACTTCCCTGCCATCTTCTGCATGGTCGTCCCGTTCACGCTTATCATGTACTTCATGTGTGGTCTCGATACCACGGCCTCCAAGTTCTTCATCTACTTCCTGTTCGTGTACACGACCACCTTCTGCGTCACCTCGCTCTACCGCATGTTCGCTGCGTTGTCGCCGACTATCGATGACGCGGTGCGTTTCAGTGGTATTGCGCTGAACCTGCTCATTCTGTATGTCGGTTATGTTATCCCCAAGCAGACTCTTATCTCGGACTCTATCTGGTTCGGATGGCTGTTCTATGTCAACCCAATCGCGTACAGTTACGAGGCGGTCTTGACAAATGAGTTCGCCGGCCGTCTTATGGAATGCAGTCCATCTCAGCTTATCCCACAGGGTCCCGGGACGGATCCCAAGTACCAGGGCTGTGCTCTGACTGGGTCCACATTGGGCGAAACATCTGTTCCAGGAGCACAGTACTTGACTGCCAACTTCCAATTCACTCGCAGCCATCTCTGGCGTAACTTTGGCGTTGTCATTGCTTTCACTATTCTATATATCCTTGTGACTGTCATCGCTGCTGAGACTCTCTCGTTTGTTGGCGGTGGCGGTGGTGCTCTGGTCTTCAAAAAGTCCAAGCGCGCTAAGAAGGTCACTGCCCAGACCAACAATGCTGACGATGAAGAGAAGGTCGCCAATGCAAACGACAATGCCGCTCTTGCCCGTGGCCAGGCCTCTTCCGATGCCGATGCGACTTTCAACCGCCTGTCCTCGAGTGAGCGCTGCTTCACCTGGCAAAATGTTGAATACACTGTTCCCTACGGCAATGGAACACGCAAGCTCCTCAACAATGTTAACGGCTACGCCAAGCCCGGCGTCATGATCGCTCTGATGGGTGCCTCTGGTGCTGGAAAGACGACCTTACTCAATACTTTGGCCCAGCGCCAGAAGATGGGTGTCGTGACTGGCGATATGCTCGTCGATGGCCACAAGCTAGGTCCTGATTTCCAGCGTGGCACAGGTTTCTGTGAGCAAATGGATCTGCACGACAATACTTCCACCATCCGTGAAGCCTTCGAGTTCTCAGCCATCCTCCGCCAGCCCCGCGATGTCCCTCGCCAGGAGAAAATTGACTACGTGGACCGTATTATCGATCTTCTCGAGCTTGAGGATATCCAGGATGCCATCATCGGCTCTCTCAACGTCGAGCAGAAGAAGCGTGTCACTATCGGCGTTGAGCTTGCAGCCAAGCCCAGTCTACTTCTGTTCCTAGACGAGCCCACCTCCGGTCTCGACAGCCAGGCCGCGTTCTCCATCGTCCGCTTCCTCAAGAAACTCTCCCAAGCCGGCCAGGCCATCGTCTGCACAATCCACCAGCCCTCCTCCATGATCATCCAGCAATTCGACATGATCCTCGCCCTCAACCCCGGCGGCAACACCTTCTACTTCGGTCCTGTCGGCAAAGAAGGCTCCTCGGTAGTCAAGTACTTCGGTGACCGCGGCTTCGTCTGCCCACCATCAAAGAACGTCGCCGAGTTCATCCTGGAAACAGCCGCCAAAGCAACCCACCGAAACGGCAAACTAATTGACTGGAACGAAGAATGGCGCAACTCGGACGAAAACCGCAAAATGCTCGCTGAGATCGACCTCATCCGCTCAGACCGCAGCAAACTCCCTATCGAGGAATCTGGCTCCGCCCAACACGAATTCGCAGCAACAACATCAACCCAAACCTTCCAGTTAACGAAACGTCTCTTCACAAACTACTGGCGCGACCCTTCCTACTACTACGGCAAACTCTTCGTCTCGGTCATCATCGGCATCTTCAACGGATTTACCTTCTACATGCTCTCAAACACTGTAGCCTCGATGCAAGACCGCATGTTCTCCGTCTTCCTAATCATCCTCATCCCCCCCCATCGTCCTCAACTCCATCGTCCCTAAATTCTACATCAATCGCGCTCTCTGGGAAGCTCGCGAATACCCATCCCGCATCTACGGCTGGGTCGCCTTCTGCACTGCAAACGTCGTCTGCGAGATCCCAGCAGCCATCGTCTCAGGCTTGATCTACTGGCTGCTATGGTACTACCCCGTCGGCTTCCCAACAGACTCCGGAAACGCAGGATACGTCTTCCTCATGACGATCCTCTTCTTCCTCTTCCAGGCCTCATGGGGTCAATGGGTCTGCGCCTTCGCACCTTCTTTCACTGTCATCTCAAACGTCCTCCCTTTCTTCTTCGTCATGGTCAACCTCTTCAACGGTATCGTCCGCCCCTACGCGGATTACCCCGTCTTCTGGAAATACTGGATGTACTACGTCAACCCTGTGACCTGGTGGCTGCGCGGTGTTCTCTCGGCTGTTTTGCCAGAGGTCAAGATTGAATGTACCTCACTTGAAGCTACACATTTCAACCCCCCGCCTGGCAAAACCTGCGACGCTTATGCAGGTGACTTTGTCAACTCTGCTAAGGTCGGTTACCTGGTTAACCCCCAGGCTACCGCGGACTGCCAGTACTGCCCCTTCACGGATGGTGCGCAGTATATGTCGAATTTGAATGTTCAGGTTGATGATAAGTGGAAATGCTTTGGTATTTTCCTAGCTTTTGTTATTATTAACTGGGCTTTGGTTTATTTCTTCATCTACACGGTTCGTGTGAGAGGTTGGAGCTTTGGTCTTGCTTCAGTATTTGGTGCAGGTGGAATGATGATCGATCGTGTGAAGGGGTTGTTCAAGGGGAAGAAGAGTGATGAAGCTTAGAGGCTTCAAAAGTTTGGTTATTTCTTTTAATTTTTGTTTTCATTTCAATATACATTTACATGGAGCGTGATATCGGATATATCAGGATCAATCTTAGAAGAATACATCTACATATTGTTATTTGATTTATATTACATCGTTTCAGTCATATCTCATTGCTTTTTTAGAACATAAACTTTTTTTTTTCGTTTGAATGTCACAGTTTAGTGGGTTGGTACTTAATACATGAAGTGCTTCAACCTGCTTTCCATTCATTTGTTTCCCATTGAATCAACCAGGCAACCCGATCCGAACTCCTCCTATCCCAAATACTCATGACAAGGATGGTGAGAATCTACCCTCACTGGACATTGCAGATGCAGACATAGCCCTAGATCTGACTGATGTAGAGTGCAAATAAAGCCAAGTCTCAAGATTCGAGTTCAAATCAAACCCCAAAGAAGAAAGGTCTTCGGTTTTCCGCCAACGGAACAGCGGGAACTCTCATCGGGACAGGAACAGTATCCCTAAAGACCTCGGCTGGGAGAGGAGCCGAAGGAACCGTTACCTGCGTTTCTGGTCCCTTATCTTTCTCTCCGGCCTTCTTCTCATTTATGATAGGCACGAGCACGCCGCATTCCCAGTTGCGACAGTTCATCTTCAGCTGTTTCGTCTTAGGATCCTTCACAATACGGCCCCTGGATGCTGTTAGTTTTGACATTACAGCGACAGGGATATAAATATGTACGCACCATGCACTCTCCGACAAATTCGCACTCCCCACATAAGCCCACCCGCGGCATTCCTTGTTATCGGGCATATCAATCGGTTTAGAAGGATGGACGAAGGCAAGCTTTACCAAGGAATGTGTATTAGTAACAAATTGTCATAACCAGCCCGCTGCGGAACTACTTACCTTGTTATGCATCAAGACTCCGCGCTCACTGACACAATCTCTAAGCGTGTCACGCGGGAAATTGGCACTTGACCACCAGGCTGGATTAAAGCAGATCGTGCCAATGGCGTATTTGGGGTTGCTGTGTACGTCTCGTACGGTCTCGTCTGATGGGAAGTAAATGCGGAAGTGTTCCACACATTCTTTATTATGCGATGTGACAAGTTCCGTGTTTTTCTTGGCGGCTGTTCGGAGCTCGTACTCTAGTACAGCGTTGTCACCTGTTGGGTTGGAGTTGGTTAGATTGATTGGTCTTGGCTTTTGTAGGATGGTCATGTACCTTTGCAGGCGAGATAAATGGAGCGCAGGAATGGAATGTTGATGTTTCCCAGCGATGAGGCCTAGGTGTGTTGTTAGTATACCATGTGTATGAGGCATAGCAGGTCAAGAAGCTTACGACGTAGTCGACGTTGATGGGTGCCTTTGTCTCTAGGCCGAGAGTTTTGACGGCACGGCCCAGGCCACTAAATCCAGTACGCTGCCATTTGTCTTCGGTGTTGGTTCCGCCACTTATATTGTTAGTTGGGGGTTTGATATTTTGGTAGGGGAACAAATACTCACACTGTATGAACAAATGCATAGCGATTCGTCTCGGTGAAGTCAAACTCATCTAGCTTCTTGATGATGTTGCGGTGGAGCTCGGAGGCGTGGAGGAAGTAGACTAGTTCTTTGTAGAACGGGGTCTTTCCAGCATCAGGAACTTCGAGCTTGGGAAGATCAATAAGGAATACAGTCTGGACACTGTTAGAAATTTCAAAGCCATCAGACATACATAACCACATACGTTTTCCATAAGCCTATCCTCTCCCCAGTCAGTGGGAGTGAGATTGGCGGAGGGGACCGCGATGCGAAGATATCCAGGGTGGAACATCAGAAGCAGCTTAGAATGCATACAAAAGACTTGGGGTTCCATAGGTGGGAAGCATAGACGGAAATTGGGCATGTTGCTAATGTCCTCGCGATATTGTTGTCGCTGTAAACGAAGTCAAGTTAGTCGTTACTCCGTGTTATTCGAGGCCATGGTGTCACGGTTTGTTACTAACCGTTTCCTCGTCATTCGCTTGCATGACGAATATAATTCTCGTGGTCAAGTTGTTAAACTTGGAATAAAGCCATGGCATGTCCCACAGAAATGAGCTAAATACGCCCAACTCCAGGTCATCTCGCTGGATAACTTCTTCAATTGTGATTTCGTTTCCACTGCGAGGGAAACCGGTAATGTGTGTTTTCTTGACAGCACCAAGAGGCCACTGAGCCACTGAGCGGGAGGTAGGCTGGGTGTTATTCGGGGCATTTGATGTAAGCTGTCGGCAGACTTCGGTGTGAGATTTCACCCGAGTCGTGCTCACTTGGGGAGCGGATTGGAACGGATTGTGTATAGCAACAGAGGGATGGGGTGGCTCTGTCCTAGGGAGCTTCCGGCTAGCCTGAGATGGCGGAGTGGACGAAGCCTCATCGGCCTTGCGCTTAGAGAGACGTGCAAGACGCTCCTCCTCCATCTGCTTCCGGTTCATGCTCAATAGTGAACCTGCCGATGCTACAACGACATCATGTGGGGCTTTTGAGGATTTGATAGGCCGTGCATTCTCAGAGTTTTTGGTCTCGTCGCTAGGCTCCATCGACATGGCAATAGCACGTTGTAGTTGCTCACGCTCGTGGTCATCTTCGGTCTCAGAACTAACCACAGACTTTGACTTGGGGAACACTTCTTCAATGTCCGAGTCATCACCCGAATCATTGGTCAGATCCACAAAGTTATCCTGGGACGCCTGAGATGAAGGACGCTTGTTCTGGCGAGAGGCCTCAACGGCGGCGTTAAAATCAGGATCCACTAGTGGCTCCATCTTGCAGAACCTAACAGAAATCGAAATACAGATTTCAGAAAGAAAGAAAGATGAAGATAAAGGGATACAAAAGGGTGTGGATGGCAGGTAATAATGGAATGTTTGATGTGTGGAGTATGACCTAGGGAAGATTTTCAAATGCGACAAGGCGAAACTGTACGCACGGGCTGTGACTAAATGGACTCACAGGAACCAGCAGATATCAAGATACCCAGGGGCTTAGTGGCCTATTGCCTTAAACTGCTTCTTTTCACGTTCTACTTTCAGATGTAGTCTTCTTATGGAACCCCTGTTATGTCAATAATCGCCACGTGACTGGCCATGTTGCAATATCAGGAGGATATCCATATCCGCTTACACGTTGTGCTTTAAATTGCATGCTTGGTCGCTGAAGGCATATATTTTCCAGTTGACCCTCTCATGGGTTAAATAGTCTGAAATACCTCATGGATCTATATATGTGGATATTCTAAGCCTCGCTTGGCCAATGTTTAAGAGAGTGACAAGACCGAACAATATACCACACATGCCCTACCCAGTTTAACAGAAAAAGAAATAGTTACAAAATTTAATCTTGAAAACGTTATCGGCTCTCGTCTGCTTTGTTGAAGATGCATGGTGATCACTTCCAGTAGATAGCCTCAATTCCCAGTTACAAAAGCACACCGAAATAAACCACTTGGAAGTATACCACTAACTCCGAACAAGTATCTAGTAAATTGATCACTAGAATTCTTCCGAGAAAAGTAGTCAAGCACCCATGGATATCAGAGTCACAAAAGATGATAGCAATGAAATGTAGACGGATATATGAACGGTATTCGTGGGGCAGTGCCGAGCCGTTGCCTGGGTTCGCCGGCGACAACATCCATTCCTAGCTTTGCGATTGTCGACACGATCCATCCCAACATTCACCACGCATCACAATCAACTCAACAAATGAAGAATATCAAAAAATTCTTTCATCGCATCCAAGCGAAGGCTTCGGCCACGCAAAAGCGCATTCGCGGGGGGCTCTCGGCCACAGGCGAGTGCATTCGAGGAAAGTTTACGGCCATATGCAAGTTCAACAAAGCGAGAGCTTCGGTGGTTTCGGATTCAGAGGCTTCGGCAGTCCCGTACGAGTCTGACCAAGCCATTGAGCTAGTCCCGATATCCCAGAAGATGCCTCATGCATACATGTAGTAAGTTGACATAAACAATGTCATATGATCTAACATAGCGCCAGTTCCGATACCCCGCTTTGCTATGTCGCCCCTTTCGCCTATCCTAACTCTAAGGAAAGAAACCCGTTGTCGTTTGGCGAGTGGAAATCGTTTGAAGAAAGGTTCCACGAGGATATGAGAAGGTACCCCCCAGAGGTGATCGTGGACCAACGCAGCCCATCCCTATTCAAGTGGCTCCCGCTGGATATTCGCGCCAAGATATGGGGGTATGTCCTCGGCAACACCAAGGAGGCCATATTTCTTAGAAACGATGGTATCGCACCGAAAATCCCAACTTCCATGCGATTTGTGTCGCTCGACTTGATGTCGGAAGCTTGGTTTGCTTGGGTCAATTCAATGAGCAACCGGACTCTGGTAGTGGTGGACTTCCCGCGGCACGCCTACCTTGGCCCACCCTGCCCAATTCTTCGAGATCTGTCGACAGTCCGCCTCCGAGCACTCAAATTCGCACTGGGTGACGACGATGCCGAGAAGGCCGCGAGGAGAAACCAGCAATTCGTGAGATTTATCTCAAAGCACAGAGATGATGGCTTCCTCGCCATTCGCACGTTGATTATAGAATTGCGAAAGAACTGGACAAGCGGTGGCTTCACCGAGGTGGACCTTGCCGGCCTTCTGACCTGCGGGGCCTTTGCTCACGTTGAGAGAATTCGGATTCACGGATGGATCAGAAGTGAGAGTTTGGATCGGCTCCTGAAGCAAGCCCAGCGGATGGCCTAGGCCTCGTTCTGATGGCTGCCCTGCTTTCAGCAGGGATAGACCTATGATAGCTTCATAGGCATTGCAGAACCAGATCGACGATAGCGAAAAATGAATCTCTATCAGCAGTTGATTTGTCAAGTCCAAGACCAACAAGGAGTAGCCTCTTTTCACTAGGTGTTTTCATTGCAATAGCTGTAGCAATCTGACGAGCAAGTAGTTGACCCGTCGTATCTTGCCCAGAAGAATAACCCCCTAGTAATGTGGTAGTGGTTAGACTTTTGAGGGGTAAAAGAGCATCATCACCCTCACTGAGGGTGTGCATGCCCTCAGTGCCTGGGTTCTGGTTCTCCATCGGTACGTGCAACTATATAACATTAGCGATATTCGCTAATGTTATATTGGAAACATACCCAGTGTCCTAATCGTCCTGCTTGTGAGATCGTGACCATGATTTTATCGCTAAAGTTCATTATTCCAACATCTGTTTGTATGCCATTGACTAACCCCGCAACCTGCTTGGTGGTGGCAGGAAATGGCAGGTTGAGGGAATCCTGCATGTAGCTTGTATCAAAAGAGGCAGCCATGGTGATGAGAATAGATCTTGATCGGAATGCTGAAGAGAAGGATATAGGTTATGTAACTAGGTGTATCGGAGGTCGACCTTTGGACGTGCTTCGGTGAGCGGGCGGTTAGTTTCACCGCCTTGGCTCAGATCAGCAATATCCGACCGCCTTAATTTTTTTCTTGATGAAGAAACAGTTGGATCACAGAGCTTGCATACTCAGCCAATAATCTTTTTTTTTCTCAGTCAGACTGGCTGCAGTAATTCAAGATGCCGCCTAAATTCACACCACGTCTGCGAAAACAAAGACACCGGCAAAACCCAGACGGCGAGTCGGCTGATACCAATGTCGCTCAGCTCGAGCCCGTCTCTAAGGACGAGAAAGAGGCACGGCGACAGAAGCTTAAGGGAGAGCTACAGGAGCAGCACCCTCAAATGTCCTCGAAGAAGCAGAAGCGCTTGGATAAATACATTGTATGTGGATAGCTGCTTTGGAATATACGGCTCTAACACTCCCGCAGGAAAACAAACTCAGGAAGGAAGAAAATATCGAATTGTTGAAGAAACTAGCCGGATCATCTGTCGACACTTCGGCCTTACAGAGCTCCAGAGATCTTTCCAACAAGCGCAAGAGACATGACGACGACTCATCTGCACGAATGGCGGTTTCTGCGCCAAAAGATAATGCCCCCGCAGATATCTCAGGATATGACACCGACGATTCGGATATCCACCTGAAAGTCTCCGATCCCACAACAGATCCCAATGAACAAAAGTTACGAGAAGAGGCAGCTGCTGGAAGTGGACTTAAGCGACCACTAGAGCTAGGACCTGATGGATTCCCTGTTTTAAAGAAGCGGAAGCGCGCACCGAAGAAGAAGCGTGCACCTGCACCAGTAAAAGCCGAGGTTGTATGGGAGGGCTTTGATTCGGGCGAGGAGGATGAAGATGAAGATGAAGATGAAGATGAAGATGAAGATGAAGATGAAGACGATATGGACGAGGAGTCTGAAAGTGATATCGAAGAGGACTCCGAAGAGGAAGATATTTCGTCCTCTGAGGGCATTTCCGAGGATGAGGTTGAGGACTCAGAAGACTCAGAAGAGTCAGAAGATGACGACGAGATGGACGAAGATAAGCCAACACTCAAGACTCGCCAGTCAGCCTTCAAATCTTGGGCGGTACAACAGATCAACGAAGCTGCAGGGTTCAAACCCACCGAGGGAGCCGTGACCGAGGAAGAACAGGTGTTCGACCCATCTAAGTTACCAGCAACCCACAATACCATCCAAGAAGAGCCTCTCCCTCGGGAGCTTCAGGTAACTCATGGCGATCCCAATCGCAAGGCATACAGCGTCGCAGTTAACCGCACGGAGGAAATCCAAACCGCCCGTCTTGGACTCCCTGTCGTTGGCGAAGAACAGAAAATCATGGAAGCGATTCACAACAACTCAGTTGTCGTCATCTGGGGTGCCACTGGTAGTGGAAAGACAACCCAGCTTCCCCAGTTCCTCTTCGAATCCGGCTTTGGCTCCCCAGGCAGCCCTAATCCGGGTCTAATTGGTGTCACCCAGCCTCGCCGAGTCGCGGCCGTGAGTATGGCTAATCGCGTTGCTCAGGAATTGGGGCAACATGCCGAGAAGGTGTCTTATCAGATTCGATTTGAGTCTACAGCATCGAAGAAGACGGCCATCAAGTTCATGACCGATGGTATTCTTCTACGAGAGATTGCGGACGACTTTGCCCTTCGCAAATACTCTATCATTCTTATTGATGAGGCTCACGAGCGCAGCGTCAACACTGATATCCTGATTGGAATGGTCAGTCGTATTGTGGGTCTGCGCAAGTCTTTGAGCGAGGAAGACCCGTCTGTCAAGCCTTTAAAGGTCGTCATAATGTCAGCCACTCTCCGTATTTCAGATTTCACCGAAAACCCAAGTCTTTTCCGCAACGGTGCACCCCCCTTGGTCCAAGCTGAGGGTCGCCAGTATCCTGTTGCAGTTCATTTCTCCCGCCGCACGCAGCGTGACTACGTTGAAGATGCGTTCCGCAAGGTTTCCCGTGGACACCGCAAACTACCTGCCGGTGGAATGCTTGTGTTCTTGACTGGTCAGAACGAAATTCGCCAGCTTTCCAAGCGACTGAAGCAGGCATTCAAACCTACTCAGCGGGAAGATACGACTCAGGCAAAAGTGCAGCTCTCGGCTACTGAGGCACCTCTGGAAGCAGAGGACCTTGAGCTGGGTGGCACCGAGATGGAAAATCCAGGACATGATGATTATGACAGTGACATGGAGATCACCGGACTGGATGACGCAGAGGAGGACGAAGGTTTTGAACTTGCGGAAGGTGAAGAGGCCATGGACTCGTCAACTCGCGTTCACGTCTTGCCTCTATACTCTCAACTTCCCACGAAAGAACAGATGAAGGTGTTTGAGCCTGCTCCAGAGAACTCCCGATTGATCATCCTCGCAACCAACGTCGCCGAGACATCCCTTACCATCCCCGGTATCAAGTATGTCTTTGACTGCGGTCGCGCCAAGGAGAAGCAATTCGATCTCTTCACTGGAGTTCAGAGCTTCCAGGTCGGCTGGATCAGCAAGGCAAGCGCAAACCAGCGAGCTGGTCGAGCTGGTCGAACAGGGCCTGGTCACTGTTACCGAATGTACTCCTCTGCGGTCTACGAAAGCGAGTTCGCTGAATACACCGACCCAGAGATCCTCCGCACACCCATCGAAGGCGTTGTCCTCCAGATGAAGAGCATGGGTCTCCACAACGTAATCAACTTCCCATTCCCCACACCCCCAAGTCGCCAAGGTCTCGCAAAGGCAGAGAAACTCCTCAAGAACCTCGGCGCCCTCACAGCCGAAGGCCAAATAACGCCCATCGGCCGTCGTCTCGCAACATACCCCCTCTCCCCCCGATTCAGCAAAATGCTCCACATCGGTCACCAACACGGCTGCATGCCCTATGTGATCGCCCTAGTCGCAGCACTCGCAGTCGGCGACCTCTTCGTCCCCGAGAACCAACTCGACCCCAACCAACCCCTGCCCACAACAGCCAAGAAGCAAATCGCCGACGACAGCGATAGCGACAGCGACAGCGACAGACGCAAGGTCTACACAAACGCAGACCGTCTCGAAGACGACGAGCGCGAGCAACGCGTGAAATCGCACGCCCGCGCCATGCGCCTCTTCAGCAAACACGACGACACCTCCGATGCCCTAAAATCCCTCTCCGCAATGTGCGCCTACGCATACGCCTCAGACGGCGACGCCTTCAGCGAAAAAATGTTCCTCCGCGCAAAGGCTTTCAAAGAAGCAACCCAGCTCCGTCGCCAGTTAACCGACATCGTGCGCTCAAACAACCCAGGCTTAGTCCCCGCTTACGAAGCCCGTCTGCCAGAGCCCTCAGCAAAGCAAATCAAGGCCCTCAAGCAGATCGTCACTGCGGGATTCATCGATCACGTCGCTATCCGCGCTGATCTCGCTCCCGTCCCGCCGGAGAACCCGCGCACCCCCGTCGCGCCATAGACGTCCCTTACCTGACGCTCTTCCGCTCACGGGACGGTAAGGGCCAGGATCTGGAGGAACGTGCTGTCTACGTGCATCCTTCTTCGCTTCTGGCTAAGCTCTCGCCGAAGGAAATGCCAAAGTTCATCACCTACTCGCATCTCCAGCAGTCTTCTGCTTCACTGGTCTCGGACCAGGTGCCTAAGATTAGGATGTTCCCGCTTGTTGCGCCTAGCGCATTGCAGCTCTCGGCGATTGCGCATGATACGCCTCTTATTAAGTATGGAAAGCCGATTGGTAAGGCTGATGCTATTGAGGGCGTGCCGCCGCGTAGATCTTGCTGGGTTATTCCTGAATTGGTGGGTGATGCAGGCAGTGTTGGCTGGCCGATGCCTGCTAAGAAGGTTGTGCAGAAGAAGGACGCCAAGGAGGGTTGGGTTATTGAAAAGTTTGTGGCATAGGTACTGGTTTTGGTGTATTATAGATGAGGTTATGATATCCAATTGTTCATTTCTTTACATTCGAAGATTGTACAGCATAACATGGACAACAAAAAGAAAAAAAAGAAACTTGTTCATGCAACCCTATTTCCATGATAATCCCAATATAACCCTGGCACCGATCAACACCATTACTTGAGAAAAACACAAGCAGAAGAAAAACAAATCAAATCAAGACCAAATCTAATCCCTCCTCTTCTCCCGATAATCACGGGAACTAGAAATCTCCCCAGTCTCCCGATCCTCCCTCAACCCAAAAGCCCGGCGCAACCTCTCCGTTTCCTCAATCTTCGCCTCAGCAAGCTCATGAACCTGATAAGACTTAAGGTTGCGCCTATCCCTACCATTCCCAGCCCCAGCGAAAGGCTTCTTAAAGCCCGACTCCCCACGCTTCAAATCCTCCTCAAGCTCCTTCAACAACTGCTGTCGAAGAGTATCACACCG